CAGATCTGTAATCGTTTTTAAGACGCTATTTTAAAGTCAGTTCTAAATGTATCTGGCCTCTGACCTCTCACAGACAGTCTGTCTAGAAGAAGGAAGGGCCAACGGGACTAATGTGGAAGAACACATCCATCATTAGTTAGATTTCTGTATAGAAGAAAGTCACTGGAATGCAGTGTTGGCTTTCCTTTCATTTTGGGTTTGTTTGTTGTTGTTGTTTTGTATTTTTTTATTCAAGGCTTTCATTCGTTAATTCAGGTTTTTTCTTTCTTTCTTTTTTAATATGATTTTTCCCCCTTCTAATCTAAACTTACCCTTTGTAACAGTACTTTTTTTTTTGCACAGAACCTGCAGCTAATTCAGAGGCTACACAAATATCACTTGCTTTCTGCTAAATGGATGATTTTAGAAATTACAAGCGGCTTCTCGGTGCCGTGTGATGCTAAATTTATCACAGCGCTTGGATGAGCTAATGATCTAATATTCAAGTGGTGCCGTGATAAACAAGTTTAATGCCGCCCTTTTAGTGTAGGTATGCTACATCAAGTATCATCAAAATGTACTTAAAGCACCTATAATCTACATTTTTGTACTGAAAATGGATGGCAAGACTACCCGTAATGTGAAAGAGGTTGCTCATGGTAACAAACTTGCAAAGATTTGTCACAGAACTCTGCAGCCACCTTCAGCTCGAGAGATTTCCAACTAATTTTAGGTAATTGTTTTGCTTGTCAGGCTCAAACGCTTAGTGTTTTCACTAAATCCCACTGTTTGGTGCATTTTGAACAAAAGGCAGCCTAAAGTATAAACACCAGTCATTCTGCTTCAGTGTGACCAACAGCTTTGTATCATTTATGATGTATTATACATTTCTTTGGTCATCTAGATGACAAAGCATTAATATGCAAGAAGCATTTTAGTGTTAGTTATTTGAGAAGGAGAGACATTAAATACTGCTGGGTAGTTTAACTAATTACACTGAATCATATTTTGTATGCTGTGTGTTTTGCGTGTAAATTGTTAATGTGCAAAGTTTGTAGTAACTTTTAATGCCAGAAAATTGGAGCAGAGCAAAAAAGTACAATATTTCCCTCTGAAATGTAGTAGAATGTGAATATTAGGTAGCACAAAATGGAGAACATTTCATGAAAGTACACAAAAACTGCACTGAGGTTTGGCTCTTTTCTAGCTTACAGGTGAAGATGGTAATCGTGAACTGCAGTGAGCACCGTCGTGTCCTTCTCTAACTCTTTCTGATCAACTCTCTGAAGGCACAAACGAATGACTAATGCAGTACCACAGTAAATATACACCTCATGATTGTGCATTGGATCTAAATTGTGAAATGCAGAGTTGTCCAATATATATATACTTATATACTGGGATGGAGTTGGCCCATTATTCAGTGACTGAGTTTTCCAGATAAAGCAATTCAGATCATTTTGTAAAGCCCGTCTGATTGACTGTGTGTGGGAGGATGTCATGTTTCCAACTAGAGGAGAGAATACGTGTCCTGGTTTTGCTTCATTTACAGCGCCTCGTCATTGGTTGGCTTCAAAAAAAGCGTTACTGATTCACAACTATCCAAACCTGCTCTTTCCGTTGTAAACACCTAAAAACATCGTAATCCTTCAGTCTTCAGACTACAATATGCTCAAATTTGAGAAGGTTCATGTTTGGTCTTTAGAGAGTCCCTGCAAGCACATCTTTAATCTCAAATCACTGATTGCTCACCCATCACCTCCCCCTCTCCTCCAGCAGCTGCTCTCTCCGGCCCAGTCCTGGAGGATTTCAGTACCAACTGAAACATCGTTTTATCTCTTACCACAACAAGTTAAAACATCAATAGACCAGAGCTCAAAGCCTAATACCTCCATTCTCAAGCGTTTTTCCTCTGATAAACCACACCAGCATGCCCGAGCCTTGTATTCCCACACAGAGTCAAGTGGAGGAGGAACGCGTGTGCAGAGTGCAGGTGTGGGTGGTTTGCTGGGTAGAGAGGGGAGTGCAGCTGGTTGGGGTCACAGTGGCTCAGTGTGCAGAATGACTAATGAAAGGTTTATGGTGGCGCAGCATGACTGCCTAGTCTGAATAGTGGGCTGGAGGAGGACACGCCTTGTCTGGCTTCTAGCACCCTCCTGGCCTGTCTCTGGTTGAAAACAGGCATTTAACAAGTTCTCCCAGAACATGGGGCCACAAGCCTTCACTTAACAAGCTCATTATTTCACATTGTTTTCGTCCTTTGCTCCTCCTCGGCAGCAGTGGCAGGGAAAAAGATGATGTTTGATGTATGTCTCTGTTGGAGAGTTGTACAAGGATCTTTGAGAGGGAAGGATGATAATGGATCCGCTAATGATGTGACCCTTGCTTATGTGGATCCTTGCAGTAATGCAGGGTCGTCCGCATGAATATTCAAAGGCTTTGTCTCTGAATGAGAGGTGGCGGCTCAAGGTTATTATAGAGGGCAACAGAGGACGAGGCTCAAAAGCCGATTCTGCTTTTAAATCGGCTTCCATCATCAACGAAATTACAGTGAAATACCTGCGAATCAAAGCAAAACTTGAGCGAGGCCTTCTTCTGATGCATGCTGTGAACAGTTTATTTTATATGTTGATTTGTTTACTGGAACCCTTTAGAGCTTCAAAAGCAGAAATACCAGACTCTGACATTTAATACCTGGGGGTAAAAACAACTTTAGCTTTATGGGTGACTATTTTTCTTTCTATTACGGAATTCTCCATTGAAGCTTTTTATGCTGAATCTGTGTGTTTGTGCCGCAGACGGTGCTTTTTGTAAATGTGACAGTAAATAGTAGCAACAAATCTGGATGCAGCATAAACCTCCAGAGCTTCTCAAGCAACTCCAAATGAAACCCTGCGATAAATATTCAGATTTGCCATAACTTTTTTTTTTGTAAAATATTCTACTGTAGCTACTACATCTGTATGTGGAAGTACTGGGATGCATTTTCTACAGGATGAAGCTTCACTCTTAACAATTTATCACCGTTTCACTGCACAGCGGTGAAAATCAATAGCATAGTTATACTGAGTAGAATTGACTGAGTGTGAAATTGCAATCAAACAGCAACTATTAGCCTCAACCAAATAGATACTACAGAGATAAATGATGTTTACAAATCCCTCTGAAATTCAGTTTACATTGTTATATTACTTGTTTTCGGTTGTGCTCTGTCATGGAAAAACGCTCCTCTCATGAAATGTAATTTTGCCTCCCCACTTGAGACAGAATTGCATTTTCAGAGCCAGAATTCAGACCCTGTTTGTAACAGATTTTTAAGCCGAGATTTGTCAAATCAAATCAAGCCATGTCAGAGTCGTTTTCAAAACAACTTTAACGTGACACCTGAGTGCTGTTCAGGACGACTATATGCTAAGTTCACTCCTCGAGGCTTGAATGTAATTTAGCCTGGCTGCATTTTTATTCTTTCTGATTCGCACGTTTTTTCCTCTTTGCAGAACAAAGGATTTTTTTTATCTTCATCGTATATTTTCATCCTAAATGTCAGTTCATCAGATTGGTACAAATAAAAGGTGTATATTTTCCTCCGCTTGAGTGTGTAACGTGGGATTGTAAAGTAAGACAGTACTGACATCAACATCCGTGACAAACTTGTAACAACCTCCAGACAAAACACCTCTTAGAAGAAACCAATTAAACCTTTGGAGATTTCAATTACCACTTTGATGGGGTTTTCAAGATCGATAACCAAGCATGTGTCGTGACAAGACGGTCAGGGCAACAAGCGACCGGTGCCACTTCATCAGTTTCCAGCGGCAGACAGTTAAAGACCGTTGCTATTGTTGCACTTGGATACGTTTCCCCGGCAATGACATGTGTTGTGATAAATATTCATGCGTTTAATGTACGGTGGTTTAAATTGAAATCAAAACCGCACAACCTACATAAGCTGTCATTAGGGTTAGGAGATCAAATAACCCGGCAGCACCCAAATAAGATCAGAAAATGTCACATGCCACCTCCTTAGCACTCTCCTCTTCTTATTCCCCCTCCCATTCTTTTGCCTCTTTCTCCGGTGTCTTGTTCGGAACAATGAAGATAAAGATTTAACACACAGAGCCAGACAGCAACAGAAAGCTCTCTAGCACATACTAATCTAAAACAACACCGCATCTGGGCAACATGTTTTATTCGTTCCCCAGTGAGGCGTGTTTAAGTGTGAGATGGGGCTCTGCACATCTCATCACTTAGGGAAGGTTGTGGCCTGCATCTACGGCCCCCGCCTCCCCCTCGTGCAGGTTCCTATCACTTCCACCCTGAAATTGGAAGTGACAAGCCACTCAGGCAGAGGTGTCTTTGCTCTCCCCATCAGCAGCCATGCAGCCCCATTCAGAGCTGTCAACCTGATTACGTATCAGCAAGATGGGGGGACTTAAGGAAAGGAGATGTCCAGCTGGAGACAGACCACTAAACACATCGTCTGTCCTGCTGCTGCACATCTGCCAATACACAAACCACCTGTCCCCGAGGCTGCCACAAAACCAATCTGTACGTCTCCATCACTCTTCCACTGTCCTCCAGCAAACTACATCTCACTTAGTTTGTCTTTCATTCTTACTCCTGGTTTGCAAACTACATCTTTTTTTAAACCTTCGTTAGGTCTCTTCGCTGGTTTGTTGTCTCTCTCAGTTCAATTCCTTTCTTTTTTCATTTGTTTTTTCCCCCCCTCCTCTCTTGTCTCATCTTCATTGCTTACTATTGGGATCACGACTCATTTACCAACTTTTCATTCATGTGGCAGCTCATTACACAGATTGAGCTACCTGTCGTCCCTCTGTGGACTAGTAGAGTGCTGGGTGTTTTCAGGGGATCCAAAGGAGATGTTCTGAGTGATGGGAAGCATGGAATTATCGGAGCCTCTGATGTGTCGCAGGCGCCTAACTCTCTTCCACAAGGACAAAAATACATGTTGTTTACTTAAGTGTTGATTTTCTCGTCTCTGTTCTCTTCTCTCTCCCCAGGCGTGAAGCTTGGAAGCACTCCGCGGCAGTCCAGAGAGGTACGTGTTTACTCCATTCCTCCCAAAACACAGACACACAGGTTGCTCCTACCTGTTATCTATTGCAACAAAAAAAAAAAAACAAGTGATTGTCAGCCTTGTACCTCTCAGCGTGTCTGATAGCATCTGTGTAGAAAGGCTGACCTCACACTGTGCGTTCAGTCAGTCAGACTGAGGCTGAGTTTAGTGAGTAAACGATCCCAGTTGAACCAGGCCTGTTTCCTCCGGGTATGATCACACCTGGTGGTTTTTTTGTTGTTTTTTTTTTCCTTCCACAACTAAAGCTTATGTTTATGGTGAGTTTACATTCACTGTTTTCAGCTACATGGGAACAAGAGAGAGGATGTGTTCTGATTTTCATCTTGATCTAAGTCAAAAGTATAGACAACACGGTCTATTTAAACTAATGGCACAAGAGGAATTATCATTTTTCACGTCTTTATTGAACACATTAAACATTCACAATTCTGATTGATAAAGCGAGCAAACCTTTGGATTCAATAACCTCATCCGCTATAGCAGTGACCCCAACCAAGTGTTTCCCATAGCTGCAGATCAGACTGGAATTTTAGAGAATTATTCTTGCCAGAGCTGCTTCGGCTGAGTTACATTCTTAGGATGTCTCATGTGAACAGCTCTCTCGAGATTCCACAGCATCCCTACTGGGTTTGTCTCGTCTCTGCTTGGGCGACTCCAAAAGGTGAACTCTTCTTGTTGTTATTTGCTGCGTTTGATGTAATAGATGATGCTTAGCTGTATGCTCTGTTGCATCATCTAACTTCTTCCTCAGCTGGCAGACAGCCTGATATTCTCTGTCAGATTCCTTGATAAACTTGGGGATTCATTTTCCCTGCTATGATGGTTAGATGTTTAGACCCCGAGGCAACAAAGTTGCCCCAAATCATGATGCTCCCTCCGCCGTGCTTCACCTTTGGAAAGACGTTTTGATGTTTTTCAGACACCGTGCTGTCTGTTTTTTCCCAAACAATTCCGCATTCGTTACATCAGTCCTCAAACCATTTTCCCAGCAGTGCTGTGGAGCATCAAGTTGCTCTTTGGAAAACTTCAAATGTGTAGCGGTGATTTCTTTGGAGAGCAGCAGCTTCTTCTGTGGTTTCCTAACATCAGCAACACGCCTGTGCAACGTTTTAAGCATGGTAGACCCATGAACAGAGTCTGCCACTCTTTAAAGCCTTCAGCTGTTACTCTGAGCTTTTTTTTTTTTTTTACCTCATTGAACATTCTGCCTTGAGCTTCTGGCAGCATCTCAGCTGGAGTCCCACGTCCATGAAGAGCAGCCACATTACTAAATTATCAGTGTGTACATGTAATTTGTCTAACTAACTGTGAACTGATCAATATTTTACTTGTTTTGGTTCCTTGTGCAATGCTTTTTGATCATTAGTTGTCAGCCTTATATGTCTCATACATTTTCTGAGATCTTATTTTTCTGCACAGCATGATTCACATCAGCAGCTGCTTACTGTGAACAGCAAATTGAAAAAGACAATGAGTGTTTTAATAAGTACCTCTAACCTGCACCTGCAGTGTTTTTCCACACACCTTTTCAATCTGTACTGTGAATATTTAAATGTTTTGTTGAATATGGATTAGAGCAATACAATAGCATAGTTAAAATTGATTGCTTTTGTTCATAACTGTGGCTTATATAAAGATCTGAGCATGTTTTCAGACAAGTTTATTCATAAAAGTCTTATGAATACAAATCTAAAGGGTTGCCGTACTTTTCTGGTCAATGTAATAAAAGCCAGCATTTAAACAAAAGAAAGTCACACGGATTAATAAGAAGCTTTTTGGTTTGTTTGTTTTGTTTTTTTAGATTAGGCCTTTCAGGTGTTAGTTACTACTGGAGAACTAAAATGGCCTGTGATAATTCATCCCTGTGTAGCCACGCTTTTCATTTTGAGATCAGATTCTGTATTTTAAACTGTTAATTGCAAGTTGGAAAGGAATGAATCATCCTGTTTAAAGCTCCGAGGTCTGAGTAAACAAATACAGGGTAAAAATGTCTTCTGAACTGTCACGCATCATTATGAAGGTCTTTGAAGCATATCTTTATCATTCTACAAGCTACAAGGTTCAGGTAACCCACTCCAAGACAATCCGTCAACTAGGTTTTTATGTCAGACATGCACTATGTTCTCTCAACTGACCCCTGCTTACTCTGTTCCCTGCTGTGATCATCAGCACCAGTGAGAGACTTACAGCAGTGCAAACCCTGAGGAACGTGATGTCTGGCGTATAGGTTTCTGCCTCACACTCGCCTTGCACATTAAACAGACAAGGAGGAACCACTCCTCTTTTTCCCCCTCCAGATGTCCCTGCAGACGAAAGAATATGGCTATTTAAGTCAGGAGGGGGATGGACCAAGATTCATGATGGTCTCATCACCTTGTCTGTTGTAAAATTAAAATTATACATCCAGTCCATTGGCTTTATGATGCCATTACAGCATTTAATTGAAATAAAATGTCAGAATGCCTGATGGCCTTGGGCATCATCTGATGGTAATCAGACAGTAGATGACTCTAATTTAGATTCCCCATTAAGTGTTTATAAGACATTTATATGGTATTACAGCTCAGTTTATTGATAGGTCATGGATGGCATTGGGCAGTGTGTGACATTTGCCTGTAACAAAGTTAGACCTTTGTTCAAGGTGTGGTGAAACAGCACCATCAAGTGGTCTTTTTGAGAATGAAACACGTGGAGTAGGTCTGGCAATAAAGCTTAGATTTACCACAGCATTCAGCAAAACTCAGAAATCTCATGCATATCTTCAAAGAAATGCATTGCTTGTTTGGTCTGAACACTGCTCTCAACTTCAACCCCTGTTGTCATTGTTTTACAGACTCTTTCTACCCAAGACCGTGAGAGAGGCAAGTCTGACAACTACCAGGACCTCCAAGCTGCAGAAGGCCTCCTGTCCAGCCCGATCCCGCCGATGCAGTTCCCGCACTTTGAGAAGAGCAGGCAGACGGCCACCCCTGGGTCTCGAGAGCAGGACATCGGCTCTCTCCATGTCTCCAAAAGACACCGCAAACTGCTGAAAACAAGTCCCCCGATCCACAACACCAAAAACAATGTTTCCTCACCCTCCTCAACCTCGGTTTCCTCCTCATCCGCTGTTTCCTCCTCATCCTCAATTTCCTCCTCATCCCCAATTTTCTCCTCCTGTGCCTCGGGCTCTTTTTCCCCTGAGAGCTGGAAAAAGCTCTCCAGCGTCCTAGAAGCTCGCCAGCAGCTGATGAAGGAGATCTGTGCCAAGTACAAAAGCAGCATCTCAAAGACCATTACACGGCATCATGTGAAACACCTCTTTGTGGAGGATAAGTACAAGCTGTTGTACTGCCAGGTGCCCAAGGCCGGCTGCTCCAACTGGAAGAGGACGCTGATGGTACTAGCAGGCCAGGCCTCCAATACCCAGAGCATAAAACACGACACCGTCCACTACGGAGACCATCTTAAGAAGCTTGATAGCTTTGACCGACAGGGAATCATGCACCGTCTGGAAACCTACACCAAAGTCATGTTTGTCCGTGAGCCCATGGAGAGAATGGTGTCAGCTTACAGGGACAAGTTTGAGAATCCCAACAACTACTACCACTCCCTGTTTGGGAAACCCATCATCTCCAAATACAGGGTGAATCCGTCTTGGGCAGCCCTGAAAACAGGCAACGGAGTCACATTTAAGGAGTTTGTCCAGTACCTGCTGGACGTCCACCGGCCCGTGGGGATGGACATCCACTGGGAGCAGGCAAACCAGCTCTGCAACCCCTGTCTCATAGACTACGACTTCATCGGCAAGTTTGAGAACATGGAGGAAGAGTCCAACTTTCTGCTGCGATTGGCTGGGGCTCCACCCAACCTCACGCTGCCCAGTTTTAAAGATAGGAACCCCACTGACAAGAGGACCTCAATGCAGATCACAGAAAAATACTTTTCACAGGTCAGCACTTTGGAGAGACAGCGAGTATATGACTTCTACTACATGGACTATCTGATGTTTAACTACTCCAAGCCTTTTAAAGATTTATATTGACTGACTCCTATCATGATTCTTGAATCACACTCACATTCCACTACGTCGACATCTCCACCATGATAGTAATCTTAACAGAAAGAGGCTCACTCACTTGCTCACATCGGTCTTTGCAAACTTCCTCTGAATTTCACAAAAGCTGCTTTTTATTACCTTTTTACCAGATTATCTTCATTTTTAGACAACTGTGGGATAAATCAGTTCATGTGCTGTTGAATTAAATACTCTAAATTGTCCTGAAATGCAAGGTATTTATTCACTACTAGCAAATGGTGAGGTAGAATTTTAAAATCATAAAGGTTAAGCTTCGAAAAAAAAGTTTATTATTGTTCAACAGGCTTTAAATTATGCCTTACTGTGAGTCAAATAGTATTTGCAAATGCATTTTATGGTTTGATTGAACACAGCCACAACGTTTTATAAAGGTTCCAATCACATTCCTAAATTTGGACTCCATCCCTGTATACAGTGCAGAACATATTCTCATTTTCCCCTACTAGCTACTTTTAGAACGCCAGTACCACAATATGTATACACATATATCAGCTGTAGTCCTTGGTTGATCTCATTTTGTTCAAATTAACTTCTCATTTTAAATATTTGCATTTACTATTTGACTCCCAGCAGGTTAGGCATCAGTATACCTCTATGTATCAGTGCATACTAATACAGATATTTCATGTGAATGGCTTTACTAATATAAACCATAACAAAATGAAACACTATATAAATAGTATAATGTGTCAAGTGCTGCCCACTCAGAAGCTGTGTGCACTTATTGTAGCATTTTTATACTTCTAACTTTGTCGGTTAGGTTTGTGCTTTAGTCTAACACATACATGTGCAGTAGGTCCTCCATCACTAGAGCTACTTACTTGGGCTGTTAGGTGCAGGGCGTCCAGGTACTTGCAGGGTACAATATGTTGCTGCCAATATCTCTTATATCTATTTCTGTTCCAGACTTTCAGATCATTCAGTTGCTCTTGAGGGCACCAGAAAGCAAACAAGCAAAAGTCAACGAGTTCAAAATACACAAAACAGATGTTTAGATTTCAAAATTTGGACTTTCCAGCAGGGATGAGAAAAAAGAGAGCGCCCAAATTTGTCCATCCACCACATTCAACACCACCCTGAACAGCTTTCACTTACAGATCCCACACTGTCGGCAACTCTGTCCCCTTTGTACAAGTATCACATCTATTCTACACCACCATATAGGCTTTTTTCTGACTCTACTGTGTAAAATTGTATAATGGGCATTCAGATGACTATATATTTTTCTATGTATTTCTAAAATATATATATTCAGTGCTTCTTGGTGAAGGTATGTTTTTTTTTTTCCTTTTTGATGTCACTTATCGTTCTTTCAGTAATACCAGTGTAGAGTGTTGTGTAACTGAAGAGTTTCTTTCCAAAAAAACAAAATATCCACCAGCTGAAAACCACAAGAAAACTCAAGAAACTAAATAACTGCAAAAATTTGATGTACCACCGATTGATGAATTGTTACCACTTGGTGCTTTGGAGGCAGCGAAAGATTTTAATCAATGAAAATGGATATATACAATTTTGGAAATTAGCTCTTTGATTACTTATCCCTGATCTTTTTGGACTCTTAAATAGGATAATAGACCCTGTATAGATGAGCTGCATTTCACCTAGTTACCCATCCTGGCTAATGACATTTCTACCCATAGCAACAAGCTGTGTGTGTGTGTGGTACTGAATAAGCTGTTTAGATGTTTTACAATCTTTTTTCCTGAATCTTTTCAAAACATAGAGTATATACACACACTGCTTTAAAAAAAAACACACACTGCAGCTACAGTGTCTTAGACTGCTAAACTCCCAAACGCAACATCCAACTGGACGATTTTTGCTTAAGTATGTCTTGATGCAAGTCAGACCCCCATAACAACTTGCACTAATAGAAACTGCACAGGTGCTGGCAGTTCTTAGGGCCAAAGCATTCAGACATTGTTAGGGACCAATACAATAAGATTAAACATGTCTATGATAAGAAGCAGAATCTCTGATCAGACTAATAGTGCAGTGTAAATCTTCAATTGGCTGAATTGAGAACCTAGTCAAGGTCTTTTAAAATAAAAAGCTGAGGTCTGAAGATCAGCCACAACATTAAAACCACCTGCCTTATATTACGTAGGTCCCACCAAAACAGCTCTGACCCACTGGGCCATGGACACATTACCTACTGGGCTATTCTGTGGTGTTTGGCACAAGTGGATCCTTTGGGTCCTCTGGGTTGCAGAACAGGGCCGTCATGGATCAAACTGATTCCAGTGCATCCTGCTAATGCATGATTCGATTGTCATCTCGAGAGTTTGAAGGCCTTGGGTTCTTCATTGCGCTGCTTTGTGTTGTGGCAGGGTGCATTGTCCTGCAAGGGAGTGCTGTTGCCATGGAAGTCAAAGTCACATCCATATGAATGCCAATACCCACTGTCCATAGCAGGATGCATTGTAACAAGAATATCCGCTTTATTCACGTTATCTGTTTGTGGTTTTAATGTTGTGGCTGAAGGGTAAAAATCACCTCCATAGTGCTGAAAACATAAAGAAGTGGACAAATATGATGACGCCAAAATGAACACTTTCAAAAAAACAAAACACAAAGTAAAGAAATAAACAAAAAAGCAAAATCAAGGTGAGTCCTTTTTATGAGAGCAAAGATAAATTTGATGTATTGCGATGCTGAAAACAACATATGGCTCGTCTCCTATAAACCAGTAGTCATGATTCACCCTTTGCAGCTCACTGGAAAAGTCTTTTATGTTAACAAAACGGTTTCTAAACAGATGTATTTGCCTATGGGAAAAGGGAACTCCATATTATTTAAATCTATACACGCTATAACAATTTTGATGGTATTATCCTTTCGCGGTGATGGTATTTGTATGAACTTTTGTCAAGTATAGTGTTGGCTTCTGCAATTCCAAAATCTAACCTTTGTTTAGGTTGTGGTCAGATTCTATGTAGGTGTAGCCAATCTCTGCCCAAAACAGCTACTGCATTATGATGAGTATATACTCTTGCAAACACTGTCAGTCCCTGCCCCCACCAGCTATTAAAAGTTTTCTTGGTATAATGGGTGTAAGGACAGATTCATCAAAAGCATAATTACAGTAACAAGTGAATGTATAACAGTTTATCGTTGGTGCAAAAGTGTATAAAAGATGATCTTAAGCCCTTTGCCTTATTTTACACTGCCAATCAAATGGTGTATTTCAGGAAGACATTTTTCAGGTGGTTATTTCTGGCTGATGAGTGTCTACTAATAAATTGTCTTTTAGCATTTTCACAGTGTTTACGCCCTTTTTTCATGCATTGGTGTTGTTTATTTATCTCGAGTCTAACTTTGAAGAGAACTGGTTTCCTAAAGTCAGCGTTAGCATGCAGACATCGACTACAGCGTTGACCCTACTCACCCTTTCAGTTTAGCATGTTTGCATAGAAATGTTTGCTAATTAGCACAAAATGCAGCTGTTAATGCTGGGGATGTGATTACAGTAGCTTTAGTCATCAACCAATATATTGGAAAAGTTTCAAATTTGGTGCTAAATTCACTAAATGATCCTGTCAGGAGCATGAATGTCTGTTCAAAAATGCTATTCACTGCAGTAGTTGCTCAGATGTTTCATTTAGAGTTACAAATGCCAACCTGATGGCAGTGAAGGACCTGTAGGAGGAACAGGAGATCACCAAAGTCAGTTTATTTGAGGCCTAATGCAAGAACATTTTTTGGTAATCTTGCATCTTGTTTACATGTACACAGGTAAAATGTGTCCTTTTCTATGCATTTTGACTTTCCTCTGCACGTAAATGTGGTTTTGTGGTCATTATTGAGTGTTGTGTACTTTGTGACACTTTGTAGAACCTAGCTAAGGTTAAAAGCTATTACATTTCAGTCATTGAAAACAGCCCTTAAGGAACAATCCATCCAGGGAGAAGATTTTCAGGAACTGTTTGCAGTTTGAAAACGATGATGCAGACAACCCCGTTCGCTTCCTGATTGAGTCTTACTCGTCAGACATGTTGTCCCTTGATTCATCACACCTCTATGGCATAACTTCATTTCCAGCCTTCTCCTTCACACTGATGCTGGCATGCTCATGCCCAGTTTACATGAATGGTCATGGGATGTGCCGTTTCTGGTATGTAGTTACGGATAAGAGATGATTCGGAAAACGCTCGTCTGGATGGAGCTCTTTTTGATTACTTTTAAAATGAAAAACAATCAAGTGGCAATGCAGCCTTACTTCTCTTATAATAAATCTCATACTGATTTCTGTGAGGTTTGTCCATGCAAGTGTTAGTCAAAGTCATTACATTTTCCAGACCTCACTGAATAAACTTACATTAAATTGCTCATGTCATTTGATTATGCAGCTGTGACTATTTGTATAATCAAACAGAATTACCAAAAAAGGCAATGTACCTCAAAATGTTGAGTTTCTAAAATTTCTGTTGGCAGAAAACACCAGATGAAGCCATAACAAGCTTAGAAGAGTCACATTAGTTGTTTAGAATATTTTGTAAATTAAAAATATTAGTACAGGTTCCAACGATGTGTCATCAGGAACAATGCTGCGCTGCATGAAGCTGCTAGAAGCCAAAATGTCTTTCCAAAGCAAGCAGTCTATGCCTAATTTGGGGTAGTCAAGGACACAGCGACCTATACAGATGAAATGAGAGAACTCTCCCTACCGCTCCATAAATTAGTTGAATCAGTCAAAAGACACCTCAGGAAACCTGGCAACCATAGGCTTGAGATGGTGACGGACTATACATTTTTCATTCACGTTTGTTTTAGTTAACATTGGTGTCATATCTGAAACTAAGTTTTATTTAGATTAGGGCATTAATTTTTTTTAAGTCACATTAAAGTAATTTTAGTTTGTACTGAAAAAAACATTTAAAGGATATTAATAAACTGAGGTTGGACATTCCCTCAAACTATTTATGTAAGCAAATCTATTCAAT